GGCACACCTGCTGTTCACCCTAGCACCCCTCTCATCCCCTAGGCACAGCAGCTGCTCACCCCAGTACCCCACTTGTCCCCCAGGCATACCTGCTGCTCACCCCAGTACCCCACTTGTCCCAGGGCACACCTGCTGCTCACCCCAGCATCCCTCTCACCCCCCAGGCACAGCTGCATCTCGCCCCAGCACCCACACACACGCTGTACACCCTATGGTACCCTGCAGCTCACTTCTGGCACAACTGTGCACATCTGTGACACACAGTGGGAGCCAAGGGCAGCAAGAAGTAGATGTGGTTCCCACTGTGTAGTGGCAGCATCTGAAGCTCAGGAGCCTGGGGTCCCTGGGCAAAAGGGCATGTGAGCTGGCTGGACCAGGGCTTCAGCCTAGGTGAGAAGCTCTCAGCCAGTGCAGGCTTGTGTGTCCATCTCTCCTTTTCCCCCAATATCCCTGCATGGAACAAGTTGTGGGTATGTTGCTGAGTTGCAGCACCACCAGGCTTATAGGCTGGGGCCACCTAGCCACCACTGGATCTGGGACTAGCTTTGATTCCCATAACCTGACAAACTTCTGTGGTAAAAAGGAAATCCCTATAAAAAGGAAACACCTTTCAATTTAACATCAGGGAACTAGCAGATACACTTGATGCCTGAAATGTTTCGGATTTCAGATAGTTTCTTTGATTTTATTTGGCTTTGTTTGTTTGTTTGTTGCAGTGCTGGGGATTGAACTCAGGGCCTTGACATGACAGGCAAGTGCTCTATCACTGAGCCACAGCCCTGACACTTAACTTTTAAGAAAAGGGTCAGGAGGGAGGAGAACCTCAATTAATGTGAAACCAACCAAAATAATAACAGGTATCTAGGTAGCCTAGTGTAGCTGAGGCTTGGAAAAGAACATATCGGGTTTAAAGAGCCTTACAGAAAGGTAATACAACTCTGTCACTCTGTTTTGGCTTCCTGCTCCCACACGTGTCTGCTAGGAGCTCTGCCCAGAGTCTGTTACTAATGCCCTGTGGTTGACCAACGTATGACTCTTGCCCTCTTTAAAGTCCACAGCTCTGGCACAAAGGGTCCCAATCTGCCCAAGAAATTAGATCGCCCACAAATCTCACCAAAGCTGAGACTTGCCCTCCCCAGACTACAGAGGAAATGACACCAAGGGCTGCCTAGCAGTACAGTGACTTTATAGAAGAGTTGATCCAAATCCTGAATTTTTATACGTGTGCACACACGTATAGAGGCATCTATGCTTGTACCATGGAAGCACTGGTGTGAGCCTCTTAAGCCCGGCAGTCTGGCTTGATCATGTTCCGTGCAGCGGCAAGGCAGAGGGATCTTTGAACTCAGTACCTCAGAGTCCAGGACTGAGTAGGCCTCCCTTACCCCTCTTGTGTCATCCCAAGACAGAAGCCAAGAGCACAGAGGGAGTGGGGCTGGCCCAAGGGACTCTGCAACTGGAGGGCTGGTTTAGGACATTCTTTCTCCTTCCTGGGGATAGATTTTGGGAAGTGAAAATATTGCAGAGGAAGGTGAATGTCTGATCAAACGTGGAAAACAATGTCTCATAACAGAAGGCACCCATCTGATTGCACGCCTCGGGCAAACGCACAGACCACACAGACAGAAGCTACCATTTGGTTTTGTTGGGAGGTGTTTGCTTCCCTGAAGTGTGAGGGCAAGGACCTAGCTGCAGGTCCACTACGATGGTCACTGGTCACTTCCTTCCATGAATATGAGATCAAAAGAGGATATGAGGGACCCCGTGTTGCCGAGCGAGGTCCGGGAAAGCATTCTGAAAGGACTCACTGGCCACCCTCTCTCTTCCAGGCAGAAGCTTCTCCGCGGGGGTATCCTGCTGCTGCTGCATCCTGCTTCCCCAGGCCAGTGCTGGCTCCTGAAGGGACCCCACATGGCTGGATTGCTGACCTCTTGCGGCCAGCTCTCTGCCCCTTTGCTCTTCCCACGCCCTACCCCACCTCTCCTTAAATCGTGATGAGCTCTCAGGAGGGAGGTTCAGAGAGCTGACAGAACTTCCTCTAATGGGGCAGGTGGGCTCTGCACCCATCCACCAGCTCAGCTGGTAGCTCCTCACCTCCCACTGGGCCAGGTGGCATTCCTGTGGCACAGAGTGAAACCCCTCCCTCCAAATATCAAGTGTTCAGAGATCAGGAAATTGCTAGTGGATATTTAGCTGCCCCAAAGTGAGGAATAGGTTTTCTCCAAGTAAAATGAAAAAAAGGCTCCTTTTCCTCCCTTGTAACTAGGGTCACGGTGGTGTCACCAGGGACCACTAGTGTGCGAAAGCTCCCCCCACTCTCCCTGCAGCCACAAAGCACTGGTGCTCACACCATGAGCTCTGCGGGGATGGGAGGGGGCCCTCATGCCCACTGGGGGCCCATAGCACAATGGAAGCCCCTACAGGCAGGGAGCTAGCAGCTGTGTCTCCATGGCCACCTGTGGGGGCCCATCTGCAAGAGCCTAAACTGGACCCGCTAGTGTGTCCCTGGGAAAGATGACAGAGCCAGCCCCTCTGACTTGGGCAGCAGGAAGGGTGTGCCCCAGTCTGCCAGCTTGCAGATCCTTGACCACACACCAGCTCTCCTCAATCCCCCTCCAAGTACTCTCTCACCTCAGCGGGCTGTACTACACCCTGTACTTCCTAGCCACGCTCCTGATGATCATCTATAAAGGTAAGCCGGGAGTGTGAGGCAGGCCCCGGAGCCCACTGCTGCTCAAGCTGACCCGAGGCTGCTGGTCCTAGGTCAGGTGTTCAGCTATCCTTGGCACCGCCTGGTCTTCGACCTGACTCTACTCCTGCTGATGGGGGTCCTGGAAGCAGTTCGGCTGTGCCTGGGTGAGTGTTGGGGTGGATGCATTCCAGCTGTGACAAGTGCTGTCTCGAGCACTGAACCTTTGGATGTGACCCCTTGGTGCAGTTCTTGGTGAGGTCTTCAGTCAGACTAGTGGGCGGAGGCTGTTGCCTAGGTGTGATGCAATATCACCTTACGCTATCACTAACTGCTGGTTTAGAAGCTCCATCCCGAGGACAGGTGATACTGTGTGTGCTCCCATCTAGAAGCACATGAGAGCAGAACAGCCTACCTGTGAGAGCCAGGGCTCCTGAATACCCCTGCACCCTCTGTCCTTCCCTGGTCGTCTGGGGAGCTCAGCAGGTCCCCAGAAAGCCCAGCCTTTCCAGTCGGGCTGGGATCCAGGTGCTACTTCCTCCAAGGGCCTCTTGGCCACTCCCTCTTCCACTGCACAGTTCACACAAGGGTATGCTCTTAAACAGAACTCGAGGGGTGTGGAGATAGAGCACAAAACCTCCTCCCCCACCCCATAGCTGACCACCAAGACCAGCAAGCTCCAGGCTTCCAGCCCCGCTGTGCCCTTCCTGTGGGCTTGGTCATAGACACACACAATGAGGGTGTCTGTCTGGGGATGGATTGTACCCTTCACACTGCCCTGCTGTGGGCACAGGAATGGGCATGTCTAGGCATGCTGCACTGCCGGGTGCCAACCTCAGGCCCTCATGCATACCCCAGCCCCTGGTGACCAGGACATGATAGGAAGCCCAGGTGAGAGGAGGCTGGCCCCTGACCACCTTCTTGCGTCAGAACTGGGACCCCCGTGGGGCAGGGGCAGCATGTCATGCAGCTGCCAACACAGACAGCGCAGATGCTGGTGTAGCCCTCAGGAGGGCAGCTCTGCTGCTTGGAGGGTGTGGACACCATGTTTGTGCCTACCTAGGGTCTGGCCTGCAGGGGGCTGCTGGCCCTAAGGGCCCTTGGGGCACCTGAGCTGTTGGGGTCAGCCGGTGGCAACTTGGGATGGGCATTTTCCATGACTGGCCCATTGGTCTGTTTTTGTAAGTCTTCATGACATTTTCCAGAACTGGCTTTAGTAAAATATTTTTGGAAGTTTTAAATGCAAAAGGGTGGCAGATGCCCATGGTTTCAGATACCCAAGTCTGCCCCACACCCACCGCTGGCCAGAGGGTCAGGCAGGCACCAGCTCTGGGGGTGGCCACAGTGAGCCGTGGCTCATGCTGTCCTCAGCAGGACCAGGACTGGGTGGTGGGTCCTGCCCCAGGCCCATGCCCTACCACACCTCACTCTTATCTGCTTGCTCTTCAGGCACACAGGGCAACTTGACAGAGGCTGAGGGGCCCCTAGCTGCCAGCCTGGCCCTCACAGTGGGCAGCGGCCTGCTCTCCATCCACTTTCTGCTCTGGCAGACCCTGGTGCTCTGGGCAGACGCTGTCCTCAGTGCTGGACTCCTGGTGCTCCACGGCCTGGAGGCTGCCCTTCAGGTGGTGGCCATTGCGGCCTTCGTCAGGTAGACGTCTGGCTCAGCCGTGCTGCAGCCACCTCCTCCATACCCTGCCAGGTCCCAGCAGTCTCCCGCCCTGCTGAGCGAGCAGGTGGTGTTTCTCCTACTGATTTGCCACAGACGGTCCTGGGTAGTTCACAAATGATTTTTGTTGGGTGTCTGGCAGGGTCCAGAGCACAACAAACCTCTGGGGGCCCAGGTGTGAGAACAGCCATGGGGTGTGATGCACAGGGACATCCACTCAGGCCCTGTAAGTGGGGCCACCAGAGGAGGGAGAAGCCCTGCAGAAAAGAGACTGCCAGAGGGCGGCCCTGCAGTGCACCCCAGAGAAGCAGCCTCCACCTCCGAGCTGCAGCCCGTTCCTGTGCTTTCTCACACAGTGGTTCTTGACATTGTACGCTGCCTGTTCTCTCTGCCACCAGTTCCTCCAGAGCTGCAGGCAGGTGGCCCTGTGTGTGAGTGCCTGTGTGAGTGCCCGTCTGCCTCCCCGCGCCCCCCCCCCCAGGCCTGGGCAGAATGGTGGGCTGGGGTTTCCACAGAGAGCAGAGCAAGTGAGCCAATCAGCTTCAGATTCTCACCCCAACACTCTCCCTTCCCTGTGGGCACCTCTGAGGTCCAGGGGAGCAAGGCTGTGGGGACAGTGGCCAGTTCACAGAGCAGCTCCAGTTGTAGGGTCTCTGAGTGAGCTAGGGGACTTCAGCCACATAATGTAGGGTCTGAGCCGATTTTCCTAGTAGCTTGCCTTCATCTGTTGTTTTCTGCATTTGGAATAATGTTACGTTCCAGTGTCTGGCTTTCTCTTCACTATTTATTTAAAGTAAATAAATGTTCACATTTCCAGGAATTTGTCCTAATTGTAGCCACTTACCCTCCCCGTGTTTTGCTATTAAAAGCCCCCCCACCTTCCCCCACTTGCTCCTTCATGACCTCATCCCCAGACTCACCTCCAGCCACGCTGCCCTCCATCCTGACGCCTGGTCGGAACACTGCTCCTCTGTACACTGCTGAGGGTGGCAGGCTGCCAGTGTCCTGGGCCTCCTCCAGAGCCAGCATCACTGTCATGTCCTCACCCAGGGCCCTCAGCTGGCTTCGTCTGACCCAGAGTGGACGTCAGGCAGCCTGGACACCTATTCTCCCACTCAGCGTGCCCATGCAGCAGATCCACACGCAGGCAGGGAAAGGCCAGTGCTCCCAAGCATCTCTGTGGCTGGGGCACCATCCATTAGGATGGCCAGAAGGGCTGCGGGTTCCTTCTGCAGACCGGGCAGAAAGCTTTCAGTTAACAGATCTGAGTCTGGAGCCCTTGACACCCCCCTCTCACTGGCACACAAAGGGGAAGGTCACCTGTTCCATACCATCTGCAAACACTACAGGTCCAGGCGGCCCAGAGTGGCTTTGGGACCTGCCCCAGCTGTCCCTGCGGTGCCCACTTCCTGCTTTTGCCCGATCCTCACCCTGCCGAAGGGCGAGGGCATGGGTGTATGCCTGCCCCTGCCAGGGCAGAGCAGAGTGCTTGACTCTGCACACTGGTTCAGGATGGAGTCACATGTGGAGCAGGACTAGGCCAGGTTCTTGAGTTCAGCTGCAAAGGCTGTGGACCAGGAAGCAGGTCTTGTCTGGACTCAGGCAGGTGCTGGGACTGGAGGACAAAGGCCATTCCTGCCACCCTTCTGCTGAGCTCACCTGTGGGTTCAGTGCAGACCACAGAGATGCAGTGGCTCTGGCCCTCCAGGGCAGAGTGCCCACCTCCCCATGGCTGCTCCATGCCAGCCCAGGGCAAACACCAGCAGTCCTGACTTCCTGACAGTACTCATTCCCTCTGCCCCCACCCTGGGAACAGAGCTGGATCCCTGGGGACCCTGCATGTGCCCAGGATGTCTCTATCCCCTTCACCTCCTCCACTGCCAGCCAACCTTGGCTTCTCGCTCTCTGTGCACCCCACCCGGTCCTGTGCAGAGCAACAGGATTGCTCAGGGCCTTCTGGGAGACCGCCTGATGAGACAGAGCCAGAAGCTCACAGGACAGTCTGGGCCACAGGTGTCCCCTCCCACCAGACACTCCCGCCCTTTGGAGGTGCCCGCGATGAGGTGGGGTGCAGAGAAAGGGGACTTAGGAACTCCTGGACTGGGAGCTAGGGCTGTGGGTCCTAGCTAGTTCCTACCTCTGACCTCCACTCAGACTGATGCCTCTGCCCCAGCATCCCACACCAGATGGGCCAGCTGAAGAGGAAGGGCTCTGAAGCTAGGGGCCCGGAACGTCCGCGGGGAGGGCTGGGGCGGCCGCGCAGCGCCCCAGTGAGCTGGGACCGCCAGGAAC